CCATCCATCCATCCATCCACCACACCCATTTGTTCATCCACCCCATCCACCACAATCCATCCATCCATCCACCATCCACCACCACATCAATCCATCCAAATTCCATCCATCCATCCACACATCCATCCATCCCATCCATCCACTGCCATCCATCATCCACCACACATCATCACCCACACATCCATCCATCCATCCATCCATCCATCCACCACCCATCCATCCATCCACCATCCATCACCACCAGCCACCACACATCCATCATCCATCCATCCATCCATCCATCCACACATCCATCCATCCATCCATCCATCCATCCATCCATCCCATCCATCCACCCCCACACATCCATCCCATCCATCCATCCATCCACACATCCATCCATCCATCCATCCATCCATCCATCCATCCACCCACACATCCATCCATCCACCATCCATCCACCCACCCCACACCATCCATCCATCCATCCATCCATCCATCCATCCATCCACCCATCCACGCACCATCCATCCATCTGTCCGTCCGTCAGGCCTATCATGCATTCCCTAATTGAGTGCTGAGAGACTGACGCACAGACAGGCAGGAGAGCCAGAGCAGGGTTGATTGAGTGCCCTCCGCAAGGAGCTGCACGCACAGGGCGCTGCGTATTTATGGCATTCCCCGGGGACTGGATTACACGGCGAAAGATTAACATCCCTGCCGCACAAATTAAAAACGCTCTATTATTTGCAGCATGGAGCAGACCCGCTGAAGATCAGCATCTTCTCTTTGAACAGCATAATTGAATGTCTCTCAGCCTGAACCCTGGCTGTATTGATCTGAATTAATATTCGTGCATTTGTAATCTCCTGGCTTCCCCCGTCTAGGGTTGCAACTGCTGCGTGGCTGCCTCCTCCCAAGCTGTCACCCCTCGTCTGGAAGTCTTTGACGGCTCTGAGGACAATTAATCAGTCAAATGGAATCAGTTTTTGCTGGGAGAGGAGAGGCTTCCTTGTAAAACTGACATCCCATTTTATGAGAATTAACGTTCTGAGAAGTGACTGTGGTCTCTCTTAGTTAAAAGCACAGGTTCGGCCGGGCGCGGTGGCTCACGCCTGTCATCCCAGCACTCTGGGAGGCCGAGGCGGGCGGATCGCTCAAGGTCAGGAGTCGAAGCCGGCCTGGCAACGCGAGACCCCGTCCTCTACTATAATAGAAGAAATTAATTGGCCGACTAATATATAGAGGAAAAAAAAAACTAGCCCGCATGGTGGCGCATGCCTGTAGTCCCAGCTACCTGGGAGGCTGAGGCACAGGATCGCTTGAGCCCAGGAGTCTGAGGTTGGCTGTGAGTGAGGCTGACAACACGGCACTCACTCTAGCCGGGTCAACAAAGCAAGAAGAGACTCTGTCTCAAAAAAAAAAAAAAAAAAAAGAGCACAGGTTCATTAGGATACGGTTTGGATAAGCTTATTTGGGGTGGAGACGGGGCAGGGAGCAAAATTTTACCACCGAGGGGCTTAAAAATGAGCCGGTGAAGCTCGAACAATCATGGCCCCAACTCTTTGGCTCTTTAGGGAGCAGACGTCTGTCCAGTTGCAGACGAAATGCATCGGTTATGTAGGTAAAAGCGTGTTCGTAGACTGTGCCGTAGACACCCAGCAGACCCTCTTCTGGAGCAAAACCAGAAAATTCTGTAATATACTATAACTTACCAAAAAAAGAAGAAGAAGAAAACAAACGAACAAAAAAAAACCACACACAGAAAAAAAAAATCAACATTTGCAAGGAGACGAAAACTCGGGATGTATCTGCAATCCAATTTAACTTCTTGGCCGTGTCCTTACATCGAAAACACGTTATCTGAAAACCCCGATCACCTGCTTTGGGAATGGGATTCTGGTCAACTAGACAACTGCTTTGGCGCCGCCGCCCCTCTTTGGGGAAGGTTCTGGATGGCTGCAGTGTCGTCTGGCCCAGGGAAGGTCGATAGAGCGGCCACGGCCAGCAGAAGCCGTGGAGGGCAAAGGCCGGGGCGAGGGCCGGGGAAGGACCTGTGGGTGCAGACTCAGGCCTGCGGGTGCTCAGAGGCTGCTGCACCTGCCTGGGACAGGCCGGGCGGGGTGCCGGGCGGGGCTGGCAGGGAAGCAGGAAGACCCTGCTGGGTCTGTCACAGGGGGCGGCCGAGGCTTAGACCAGCCATCGTCACCACACGGGAGTGGGGGACCCCTGTGGCCACTACATACTATGCTTTCTCCAGGAGAAGCCAGCAACTTGGATTTCTACACTGGAGTTTCTCACATTGCAAAGTAATAATAAAGATGCTTGTGCAGGCCGGGCGCGGTGGCTCACGCCTGTCATCCCAGCACTCTGGGAGGCCGAGGCAGGAGGATTGCTCGAGGTCAGGAGTTGGCAACCAGCCTGAGCAAGAGCGAGACCCCCGTCTCTACTATAAATAGAAAGAAATTAATTGGCCAACTAATATATACATATAGAAAAAAAAAATTAGCCGGGCATGGTGGCGCATGCCTGTAGTCCCAGCTACTGGGGAGGCTGAGGCAGCAGGATTGCTTGAGCCCAGGAGTTTGAAGTTGCTGTGAGCTAGGCTGATGCCAAGGCACTCACTCTAGCCTGGGCAACAAAGTGAGACTCTGTCTCAAAAAAAAAAAAAAAAAATGAGCTTTTAACCATTGGAAAATATTGTATGAAAAGACTCAATTGAAAGATCAGAAAGTAAAATTGAGAAATTCTCCTAGAAAAGGACAAAAAATGAATTAGATAAAAATTA